GAAATACTTTAATCAATACAATTAAGTTGCCCGTGTTTTATCAAGCTTTTTGAACTTTGACCGTTCCAAAAAATCATGCGCATTTTGTAAATATTTGTAAGTTATTCCTCCCTTATTTATTCCCAAAAAGAATTTGGTCGGAAATTATAAAAAAGCCTAGCTAAATTAAAAAAAAATCTGAATAGGATAAAAATTTAAAATAGAACAAAAAAATTGATATCAAATAAAATGTAATTTCCATAAAAAAAGGTTAGTTAAATTAAAAACCCGTAGAAGAAGAGAACAAAAATCAACAAATCCTAAATATGACAAAAAATCAGTTGAACGAAAAATTCATATTTAATAAATAATCAAATATTAATAAAAGTAGCAAAGTTAAATTTAGAAAAAAAATATAATATCAATATGTAAAAAAGGTGCTCTGCTTTGCTCTACAGAGACGGTATGTTAGTCTATAAGTATAAGACATGTCATATACTAATCTATGGTATTAAAAAAATTTACCCATAATAAATTCCAAATTAATCGTATCACAATAATCCATTAATTACTTATAACGCTTTGCTTTATACATCAACAACAAACTCTGATACTATCATAGATATATAATAGTGTACCTACTTTAGAAGTTTCAAGTACCCACGAATAATATAATATAATCACAACAAAATTACTAAAATAGTTATTCTAGGTTTTTTTTTATGTCATTTTGTCCAAAGTTGAACTTAAAATGACTATAAAAACAAACTGTGGTCATGTATTTTTTAGATTTTTTAGATTTTAAATTTTGTCAAAATTCGATCTTTAAATGCTTATAAAAAAAATTGTGCAAATGTATTTTTAATATTTTTCAACTAATTTTGTAACAATATATCAGGAGCCTTGTATTAAATTTTTACACTTTTTGGCCAAACAGATAAAATTTTATTGATATTTATAGAATAAAAAACTGAAAAAATGGGAAACTGAAAATGTCTGTAAACAGTTAAAAAAAGAGTCAAAATATTTTCAAAATTGTATGGTGTATAGGAAATGCTAATATAAACTAAAATTGCATGTACCCACGGTCATTTGTTTAAGAGTTGCACCAAAAACCAAAATCGATTTTTTCAAAAACAGATTTTAGTGTAAAAATTCCCGTTTTTCCTTAAATTTTATTTTGTTTTTCACGCCTTGATAACTACTGGATACTATTTTCCCTTTTGAAGCCCCGAAGTACCAACTAGATTCACTTACCTATCAGAAAAGCTACCGTTGAAGAAAATCCAAGCACTTTTACTCTCCTAAAACGTGATGACAGACACAAAAAAAAATGAAAAAAAAAAAACACACTTCATTGTAAAATCAATACATTCATCGTTTCACTCAGAATCTAAAATAAAATATACCTAATATAAATACTTTTAATATAAATATCAATAAAATTTTAAGTGTTGAGTAAAAAAGCGAGAAAATTTAATGCAAGGCTTCTGATGTATTGTTACAATAGAAGTTAAAAAATATAAAAAATAGGTATTTAAAATTTTTTTTTATTAACATTTAAAGTTTGAAATTTGACAACGTTCATCAAATTTAAAATTTAATAATTTTTTTAGATTCTGAGTGAAACGATGAATGTATTGATTTTACAATGATGTGTGTTTTTTAATTTTTTATTTTTTTTGTATCTGTGTACACGATAAGTAGTCGAAATAATGCTTCGATTTTCGACTTCAGTATCTTGTTCGATTGGAAAGTGAATATCGTTGGTGCATTTTGGAGGTCAAAATTTAAATTTCCCAGTAGTTTTCACAAGCGCCGGGAAAAAACAACATAAAAATTAAGGAAAAACGGGAATTTTTACGCAAAATTGATTTTCCAAAAAATCGATTTTGGTTATTGGTGTAACTCTAAAACAAATGAACGTATATACATGAAATTTTCACTGGTTGTTTATATTTGCATTTTCTATACACGATAACATTTTCAAAATATTTTGATTTATTTTGAACTGTTTAGGGACATTTTCATTTTCCATTTTTTTTTAGTTTTTTTTCTAAAAATTTCAATAAAATTTTATTTGTTGGTTGCGAAAGCTTGAAAATTTAATAGAAGGCTCCTAATATGTTGTTTCAAAGGCAGATGAAAAATATTAAAAATCCTTAGTAACAATTTTTTTTTATAAGCCTTTAAAGTTCAAAAATTGACAAAATATGGAAAAATCACGAAAATTAGCAAATTATTTTGAGTTAAGAATTCGTAAAAATTTTTCTTTTTAAATCTAAGATTTGAAAATCTAATACAAGATTACTCATAAGATTGTCTACCTTTATCAATAAAAAAATCTCTACCGGAAAGTCAAATTAAATTTTTATGAGCGTTTGAAATTCAAATTTTTACAACATTGGATATTCACTCGATTTCTCATGTGGCAATTTCCTTTTTTTGTTGTAATTAAAAAACGAATTACTGTAGATACATGAAAATTTCACTGAATGTTTATATTAGCATTTCCTATACACCCTACAATTTTGAAAATATTTTGACACTTTTTGAGCCGTTTACGGACATTTTTAGTTTTCAATTTTTTTAGTTTTTTTTTTCTATAAATATCAATTAAGTTTTATCTGTTGGGCCAAAAAGTGTAAAAATTTAATAGAAGGCTCCTGATATATTGTTACAATATCAGTTGAAAAATATTAAAAATACATATGCACAATTTTTTTTTATAAGCATTTTAACATCGAATTTTGATAGAATTTTTCAAAATCTCGAAAATTATTAATCATCGTAATTAATAAATTATAAAATGTTCAGTTTTTATAGCTAAGGATTGAAAATTTAAAACAAGATTCCACGTAAGTAGTTAATTCCCTTACCGAAAAATCTAAAAAATATACAATCACAGTTTACTTTTATAGTCATTTTATGTTCAAATTTGGACGAAATTACATATTAAAAAACCTAGTTATTTTGTTGTGATTATATAATATTATTCGTGGGTACCTACTTGAAACTTCTAAAGTGTACTATTATATATATATGATAGTATCAGGGTTTGTTGTTGGTGTATAACGTGTTATAAGTACCTAATGGATATTGTGATATGATTAATTTGGAATTTATTTTAGGTCAATTTTTTTTTTAATACCATAGATTTGTATATAATTTGTCTTAAACCTAGACTGATATACCGTCTTCGCTCAGAATCGTTTTTCTTATACAATGATATTGAATCATTGAATTCAAATTTAATAGCATCCATTATACAGTGACCCACTTGTAACCTACTGTACAGCAGAGCGACATCCACTTACCCACCTTTTTTTTTTATTTTGAAATGTATACAATTTTCAACTTTTATAGCTAAGGATTAAAAATGTAAAACAAGGTTCCACGTAAATATGTAAATATATAAATTACCTTATTCACAATAATATCATTTGACTTTCTTATAGACATTTTTTTTTTTTGATAAATTTAGATAATCTTATAAGGAATCTTGTATTACATTTTAAAACCTTAGATTTAAAAAGAAAAATGCTTACGAATTCTTAACTCAAAATAAGTGTTCTAAAGTGTACTATTATATATCTATGATAGTATCACGGTTTTGCATATGCAACACATAAATAATATTCAACACCTCTCCGATCAGACGTTTATCGGAGACAACACAATCAAATATCATCGGCGCCAGTAAACACCATATATTATAAAATTATGAACTCATTCTTTCGTAAACATGTACGTACATGCATACGTGTATATATACGTATTCATATATATACATTATACATACTTTAAGACCCCTTCGATAATTCTCCGATCAAGACGTTTGGTCAAAACAAAACTATAAATTACCTTTGTCGCACCGCACAAAATAAGAAAATATATCAATACTTTAATATCACGTATTAATCGATGCACGAGAAGAAGGGATCAACCAAAATCATATTATATAAGGACTACAGAGAATCGACTCGTTTAAGCCTTCAGTTTGTAAAATTTTTAGCAAAGCGTTAAGACAGTTATGAGTAACATTAAATTGTATGGACCAAGCACGTAATTTATCACAAATATTGGTTTCTACACTGTTTGAGGTATTAGAAAAATTATTATTTAAAGTATTATTTTTAGGAATATTTACATTATTAAAAAATGGACTTTTATTTTGATTAGTTAAAATATTTGACTCTGTTGGTAAATTAAATATGGTATCATTTACATTACAACATGATCATCATTTGTATTAAATACTTGGAGACATTGAGATGGGCTCTGTTCAAAATTTGATGTTGAAATAAGATTGATTGTATTTGTTTTTACTTCTTTTTGTAATAATCTTTTGAAATGACGGTCTGTAACTTTTCCCAAATCTTTTTTTTTACGCTGAAAATGTGTTGTTAAAATAATTATTTTATTTATTTTTTTATTAATATAAGTGTTGGCGTTTAGACCATTGAACAACAATTGATAATTATTTACTTATAATATAAAACATTTTTTTTTTACTATTTAATGATCAAAATAATATGTAGTTATGTGCATAAGAATGTTTAAAAAAATAAAAATAATATCTATTGATGCTTTTTTTAAATTAATTTTATTAAGTAATGATAAAAATAATAGTTATGTACTTCAATAAAAATTATAATAAGAAGACTGGTACAAAGTAATATCTGGCCTTACAGAATTGTACATAAATAAAAATAATATATATTGAAGCTTCTTTTAAATTAATTTTGATAAGTAACAATAAAATAAATAGTTATGTACTTCAATAAAAATTATAATAAAAATACTTGTACAAAGTAATATCTGGCCTTACAGAATTGTACATAAATAAAAATAATATATATTGAAGCTTCTTTTAAATTAATTTTTATAAGTAACAATAAAATAAATAGTTATGTACTTCAATAAAAATTATAATAAAAATACTTGTACAAAGAAATATCTGGCCTTACAGAATTGTATAGAAATAAAATAAATAAAAACAGCTGTGAATTATAATTTTTTTATTTTGTTCTGGAAAACCTCGTGTTAGCATGACGTAACCAGTCAGGCACTATTTTTTCAAATTCGGAGTCTGTATAACTATTGGAATAAATTTCTTTAATAACATCTTTAAAAAAAACACAACAATAAAATGTATTAAAAACTAGTAGAATATTATAACTTTTAAAGGATATATTGTATAAAAATAAAGAGTAAAACTAATTAAAAAAACTATAATTTATTACTTTTGATTGAGTTCATTAACCCAGAATCTCCTAATCTGGTATCAATATTTTTTCCTCTACCAGTCCAGGAACATGTTATAGCATATTGGTTTGTTATTAGTTTAGATAAAATTCTAATAACATTGTTTTTTAAGTTGGTTCCACCAATGGTTTTTATAAAACTTCCCTATAAAGATATTACCTATATATTAATATATTATACACGAGACAAGCTATTTGTTACCCATATGTTATAAATACCTACCAATTGTGGAACATATTCCGGCTCATTTAATATGCGATCTTCAACTAATTTGAATCTATCTGAATTTAGAATAGGGAACTGTTCAATGAATGCTGGACTCAAGAATATATCTCCTAAAGTACAATTTACTTTTTGGTTCGTTTCCATAACCATACATGTCTTAGACTACAAATGTTTAAACAAAAAAATGTTTCTATTAAATTATTATGTGTACACATTTATATTATTCTTGGGTATCTATTATAGTTTAATTAACATTTAACATATCACCATAGGCTTAAAGTGCTGTGTATAGTGTATAGAATAAAACATTTATTTTTTACTAAATTGATAATTAAATAGTTAAAAAGGGTTTTTAAATAGTTTGTTAAGGTATGTATTTAACAATATACCCAGCATAAATTAAATTATATTTAGTTAATAATTATCAAAAACATAGTATAAACATTTAATATATGTATATAATACTAATAAGGAATAATAGGTACCTTAAATTACGATTGTGGAGAAATACCATTTATTTCTGAAATATTATGCTGAGACGATACAAGTTCATTGAAATTGGACAGAAGTTCATCATTAATATTAGTAGAATAAAGTAATTCTTGACTATCTTGAGACTTATTTGAGGTAACAGTGCCAGGTATATTATTGGTCAGTGCACCTGATGTAACAGTGGCTGGTATATTATTGGTCATCGTACCTAGTGTAGATAATGGCAATAAATTTGTATAGTGAACCATATTTTCATTGTTGGTAGTAGATGGAATAAACGTTTCAGATATACTAATGGCATGAGATGCAGACAATGTGATGGGCATTATTGAATATCCAGGATCTATTTATTAATAAAAAAACAATGCAAATTATGGGTAGTTTCTAGTACAATAGTTTGGAATACTAATTTACTGCGTTACCTAAGTCATCACTTTCATCAGAGGAAGACATATTGAATTTCGGTTTTTTTTGGTTTTGATATAAGTAATCGTTAGTCTCTGTGGACGAATACTTAATTTTAACATGGGTATGCCATGCCTTGTTAAAATTACCTATAAATAATGTAATACAATTTAGAAATTAATAAGTATAGACATTAAAAATATTACAACAGTTAAAAAATAGATATCAATAACAATAATATTTTATTTCAATTGATTTTTTTAAAATCCAGATCAATTATTGTTTAGTTATTTGTATTTTTTTAAAGATATATTTCATAATACCTTGTGGAAAAAGTAATCAACTATTTATAATTAATTTACTTATTAGTAAAGTACCTACATTTATTTAGATTTGGCAACTATTTCAAATACCTACATTTTTAAGTTAACAAGTACATCAAAATAAAATCCATATTAATAATACACAGACAATTATTTATCTTTGACAAATTATAAAAAATACCTATGTATTCCTGAAGTAGTGAAGTATACCTACTATTTAGTGATTAATTTGTTTTAACTGTTTCATAAGGACATTATATTCTTGACAATTTTGTTTTAAATAAAATCCTACATCTATGATCTACAAAAATACAAAAAAGGTGGGCAAGTGGGTGTCGCTCTGCTGTACAGTAGGTTACAAGTGGGTCACTGTATAATGGATGGTATTAAATTTGAATTCAATGATATTATATCATTGTATAAGAAAAACGATTCTGAGCGGAGACGGTAGGTCCTTCTAGGTATAAGATAATATCTATATAATATTATATTATATACTTATCTATGGTATTAAAAAAAATTGACCTATATTGAATTCCAAATTAATCATATCACAATATCCATTAGGTACTTATAACGCGTTATACACTAACAACAAACCCTGACACTATCATAGATATATAAGTATACTTTAGAAGTTTCAAGTACCCACGAATAATATTATACAATCACAACAAAATAACTAAAATAGTTATTCTAGGTTTTTTATTTTGAATTTCATCCAAATTTGAATTTAAAACGCTCATAAAAATTTAATTTGACTTTCTTAGACATTTTTTTTTAATTAAGGTAGATAATCTTATAAGGAATCTTAGGAATCTTGTATTACATTTAAAATTTTAGATTTAAAAAGAAAAATTTTACGAATTTTTAACTCAAAATAATTTGCTAATTTTCGTGATTTTTCCATATTTTGTTAATTTATGAACTTTAAATGATTAGGAAAAAAAACTGTGACTAAGGATTTTTAATATTTTTCATCTGCCTTTATAATAATACAATATACTAGGAGGTACTATTAAATTTTCAAGCTTTCGCAACCAACAAATACAATTTTATTGATATCTTTAGGAAAAAAACTAAAAAAAATGGAAAATGAAAATGTCCCTAGACAGTTCCAAATAAATCAAAATATTTTGAAAATGTTATAGTGTAGGTATAGAAAATGCAAATATAAACAACCAGTGAAAATTTCAGCTGTCTACGGTCATTTGTTTTAAAGTTACACCAAAATCCAAATTCAATTTTGTGAAAAATCGATTTTGCGTAAAAATTCCCGTTTTTCCTTAATTTTTCTTTTGTTAATCTTATCGCTTGTGAAAACTATTGGGAATTTTGACCTCCCAAAAGTACCAACTAGATTCACTTTCCCATCGAACAAGTTACTGAAGTTGAAAAACGAAGCATTATTTCGACTACTAATCGTGTACACAGACCCCCCAAAAAAAAAAAAGCACACATCATTGTAAAATCAATACATTCATCGTTCCACTCAGAATCTAATAATTGACTTTCTATTCAAATTTTAAATAAAAATTATTAGATAATAAAACAACTGACCTATTATTGATTTATTATGCTTTTCATAGCAACGTTGTAAGTGGTTTTAGTACATATTTTAATGTACCTATTAAATACTTATAAGTTATAAGTTATGTGTTACTTTATGAGGCTTAACATTTTTTTGAAAATTTTTATATTTTTTTATTAGGTAGGTAATGATGTCCTGTAACAAAATTATGTTATAATGATATTCAAAATATTATGCTGGTATGCAGCATGCTACAGAAAATATTGAGAAGAGTAAAGTTCTCTTCATTTAAATTTTTAGGCTTATTTAGTAAGTTTACCAAACTGAAAAAATGGACAAAAAAAAACAGAATTTTATGAAATTTTTTCAATAATTATAATTTTAATAAAAATATTAAATTCTTACCATATGTTTTGTTACCATTCAATATTTTTATTTTATAAGTGTCCCAGTTTGGCATGGGGTTTTGTGCCTCTTGCAAATGTGTGCTGGTTACTGGGTACTCCGGCCATTTACAATTATATGTAGGTACTGGTGTTTTCCTTAATGGGTTCGGTCAGCCAGTTACAAGGAATAACACTGTAGTCACGGGTCTCGGAGAACACAGCCACAATCCATAACTTATATAGGTAACAGTAAATAATTAATAAATACAAAAATTAATAATGGATACATAGATACATCTAAGAGACATACAGGTAGGTTCCTACTTTGTCACTCATTATTTCAAATACTTTAGTGAACGAAAACTTGCCATGTCGTACATGACATGTAAGACGGAGACGACAAATGTATGGGTAGCTCCCTAGGTATTATAGGTACGATTGCTATAACGCTATAGGTACTAGGAGGTAGGTACCTACTTAAAGTTTAAACTATGCATGGCCTGATCTTTTCGTACATACGTAGGTACCATACGAGTTACCGTCTGAAGTCTACAGACCAAAATGTTTTTAAAATGTATTATTTCACTTACCTTTTTTAAACTTGGTTCAGTCATCGTACATATAGGTACTATACAGTATAGGTAGTTAATAATATCGAATATTTATAAAATCAAAAAAAAATATTCAATGCACAGACGGATAAAAACGGTTTACAATAGTAATTGCGTCACGTGTTACAGTTGAAAATGCAATACCTAATGCAGTGTTAAAAATATTATGTGTGGTGACTGATGGCCTGTGGGTGGGTTATGTATAACTATAGCCGCGCTTTAGCGGCGAGCGGGGGATATAGCTAAAAAAATATAAAAATACCACTATATTTGTCTATTTATAAATAATAATTGAACTAATTTGTTATTATAATATATTTATTATTATTAAAAATATAAATAGTTCTCCATCACATCACTACGCTGTTGTTGTAGGTACTGTTACAGCAACTTGTTTCAGAGATGTTGAAACGTCAACGTTTCTGGGTTGTTTATATATAAACTTAAAATATTTGTAAAACTAAACCGTTCAACACAATGTTTTGGTAACGTCGAGGTGCGATGTTAGCATTGAAACTTATATCATACATCGCAACAATGTTCTGTAACCTAAAATGCACAGTGGGTCGCCAGTGTCATTCCGGAGATACACATTGTCCACGCCAGTCAACTCTTTCACTACTGTCCAAAGGAGTGCTTATTACTGTACGTGCATACAGCATACGTATACAATATATGTATATTGGATTATTTCAGCATTCGGTATGTCTGTCTAAATTGGTTGTCTCTTTATCAAACAAATTCACATTGTTCATCTTTTCCACTCAAGTATCTATTTATCTCTTAAAAAGGTTCTGTGAGTATCATCATATTATAGGCCCGTTACATTATTACTGCACATTTATATTTTGAAACCCGATTATAACAATAAGTGCTCATTAACTTAAATTACATCCGGTTCGCAAATTGACTATTTGTACTCTTGCTACGATTGTAATTATTTTTAAGAGCTGTATTTAGAATATAAGACGTATAGTAATAAGTGCTCATCAACTTAAATTGCATTCGGTTGGCAAATTTACTATATGTACTCTTGCTACGAATGTAGGAATTCTAAGAGCTGTGTTCAAGGCATAAACGTGTAATAATAAATGGACTTGCATATATGGGAAAAAGCCTTATAAAAATATTGATTTAGATGTACAGGGAAGTAGACCTTGAAGCGTGTATACAGTACATGTTTTTGGAATATCATCTGATGTCAATGGTAAGATTAACATTTTATCCTGAGATGTCATACCTAAATATAATTATAAAAAATTATAACTGATGAAATAGGTATATACATAATTATTATAGTATGTTTTCATTTATAATAATTTTTATATAAGATTAAATATTATATATTGATATATTTATATTGCATTTTTTATCTGATTGGATCTTTAGGAAAAGAGAAATATCTAGTACGCCGATTTTCTGACATCTTATTATTACATAAGGTTATACAGTGCATTTAATTTCATACCGTACTGTAGCAGTCTTCATTGCAATAAAATAATATAGTAATAAATGTTTAAATAAACAGTTAAAACTTAAAAGTAAAACAGTGAAAGACACAGACAAACCTCAAACAAGATAATATTATTATTATTCACATTATTATTTTGTTATGAATACTCGTATATGAATGATAACAAAGACTGCCGACTGAGAAGACGCCCGCCGAATTAGCAGAATTCGCGCGACCAAAGCGATAACGGATTACGCACACTAATGTTCATTTACTACTCACACATAGATACAGTATTAATTTATATGTCACATGAATTGCCTAAATAGTACTCCTTAAAATATGCTACGGTGCAGCCCCCTTTATACCATAGATAAGTATATGACATGTCTTATACCTAGACTGACATACCGTCTACGATCAGAATCGTTTTTCTTATACAATGATATTATATCATTAATTGCAAATTTAATACCATCCATTATACAGTGACCCACTTGTAACCTACAAAAGTTTGACAAAACACGGGCAACTTAATTGTGGGGATTAAAGTATTTCGTATGTTCTTCGTATTTCGTATTTGCAAAGCCCACGGCTTTGGGTTTGCGTTTTTGAAATAGGTCACACAAATTCAGGCCAATTGCACGTTAAATATTGAGACATAGAGAAGTCCTTAAAATTCAAAATTCGGATCAGCTATATCAAGCTATTAAAATTAGTATCCAAAATTCCTAGTCACACATTTACAAATGATTCCCATATTTGGACTTAAATAATCAGTAATACTATTATAAAATATTACACAACAAATGCACCATATTATATGATGCGGTCTGTATACATTCCTAACAACATACAACCCTACATACATGGACCAATTATAGTTATTTGTTGTGTACTGAAACACGCATACACTTTAATCCTCTTCTTCATACCTCATAATAATATTAGATTAATTTGAGTTAATTTTATCACACGACCGGAATGCCTATTCCGGTATTATCTTGCCTATTCAGCGCACCGTCTGATTAAAATTATTAGGTACCTACCTACCAATGATAATTAATAATATTGCACATTTTATATAAGAATTACCATACAATTAAATTGTGGTAAGGCCCATAAGTAATTTATATATTTACCCTATTTTTTAAATTTTCATCCTTACTATAAACAGTTGAACATTTTATAAATTTTTAACTACAAAATAATTATTAAATTTATCAAAGGTGAATACTTACTATACAAAATATAAACTAAATAAATTATTATATATATTGCGTTTTCGAAGACATAATTTCAAAGTAAATTTTAGACAACTAATTTTTATTAGTTTTTCTGTACAATAGTTAAAATTGTATACATATTATATACATTTTTTACATTTTACATTTACAGATATAGGAATATTTTACAATTTCACAATAGGTAATTATAGATTACATGAATAGTTACAAGTTAAGTATTCAAGAAATATGGGTATACACGGTATTTAAATATGAAAACATAATAATATGCACATTAAGACGTTTTACATGTGTGGTTTTGCAGTGAAGCTGCTGTGAGTATTACTCTTCGTATTCACTCCCAGTGAGCACTTCGGAACAACGGAACCAGGTGGGGGCGGGTAAGAAATCATTGACGCGGTCAGGCAACATTGGAATCCTTGTTTTGCATATGGAATTTGTTGGAATAATTGTGTAGCATACTTAAAAAGGTTTATATGTGTTTCCATTTGGTCTATCATCTCAAAAATACTATGATTTTCAAAAGAATTTCCTGTGATAAAACGCCGAGCCATATGTTTTTTCCAACTAAACGATATTCTTCTATTGGTTGGTTGTTTATTTTCACAATTATCTTCATCAATACTTGTACTTTTTTTCTTCAATATAATATGCAAGCAAAGTTTTTTGATTTAGGTTTATAGTATAATCAAATAAACCACAATCTTTACAACAGCATCGTTCAGCCAAATGTCTAATACAGGTATATTAAACCATGATTTTCTCGGGTTTGTAATTAATAACTCTTTATACTTACACTGAATATGGTAACGTAAGTAATCAAATTGTACAGACAAATTATGACGTAGAATTTCTGCTTTGGAAAGTGAAACATGGGAATGATGGCTATTGGTACATTTTGGATCAATGCATAAAATTAACTTACCATCAATGAATAAGTTGTAGGCTGCTTGTAATTCATAAAAGCTTAGTGATGTGGTTGATTCTTTACTTTGACTTGGTATTTTAGTATTACTATACATTTCTTGATGGTCAGTTGGTTCTGTTCTAGAAATACTTTCAAAACTGTTATCTGCTCTGAATTGAATTTGAGTTTTTTCATCAATGGTTTCAGATCCAGATTGAATGGTAGGTGAAAGGTATCTTTTGCATGAAATTATATTCATTTTGGAACTGTTGGTTTGGCTGGATTAAAGTACTCTTTTTTATTATTGTCAAACCAGTATCATTTGGTGAACATTTTTGATTTGATCCATCAGCGGTATGTTTTACAAACTTTGAATTTCTTTTCTAAATCATGTGAATATGGATCAGATTGAGACAACTTGATAGACCACTGAATGTCTTTAGAAGGAGAAGCAGTACCGTCCAGATCGTTAATTGAACCAATCTTTTTAGTAGAATTTTCTATACTTTCGTTTTTGTCACTGACAGTCAAATTACTCTGTGTGTGTTTCAAATTTAAGTCCGCTGTTGTCGATAATTTAGTGTGTGATGCTTTTGTCACACATTTGGTTTCTTTGTTGACTGAAGTTTCGTTTATTAGACAAGAAACTCCATTTATGTTATTAGGGTTCTTTGTATTATCAAGAACAGAGTTATCGTTATTTACAGTGACACTACTAATACTCACAATATTTTTTGTTGTGGCAATTAGAATCAATGATTTCATTTGGGTTGCAGTTCAATAAACTTTTGTCATGCATGGACTTTGTTCTGCAAATTTTTTTATTTTCGCTTTTCACACAATTGGTGAACATTGAATTCTTTTTGATTTTTTAGAATTTGTACATTCAGGCTGATGACTCGGTATTATAGTATTTCTATACATTTCTTGATGGTCAGTTGGTTCTGTTCTAGAAATACTTTCAAAACTGTTATCTGCTCTGAATTGAATTTGAGTTTTTTCACCAATGGTTTCAGATCCAGATTGAATGGTAGGTGAAAGGTTATCTTTTGCAATGAAATTATATTCATTTTGGAACTGTTGGTTTAGCTGGATTAAAGTACTCTTTTTTATTATTGCCAAACCAGTTTCATTTGGTGAACATTTTTGATTTGATCCATCAGCGGTATGTTTATACAAAACATTTGAATTTCTTTCTAAATCGTGTGAATATGGAGCAGATTGAGACAACTTGATAGGCCACTGAATGTCACTAGAAGGAGAAGCAGTACCGTCCAGATCGTTAATTGAACCAATCTTTTTAGTAGAATTTTCTATACTTTCGTTTTTGTCACTGGCAGTCAAATTACTCTGTGTGTGTTTCAAATTTAAGTCCGCTGTTGTCGATAATATAGTGTGTGATGCTTTTGTCGCACATTTGGTTTCTTTGACTGAAGGTTCGTTTATTAGACAAGAAACTCCATTTATGTTATTAGGGTTCTTTGTATTATCAAGAACAGAGTTATCGTTATTTACAGTGACACTACTAATACTCACAATATTTGTGTTGTGGCAATTAGAATCAATGATTTCATTTGGGTTGCAGTTCAATAAACTTTTGTCATGCATGGACTTTGTTCTGCAAATTTTTTTATTTCACTTTATCACCAATTGGTGAACATTGAATTCTTTTGATTTTTTAGAATTTGTACATTCAGGCTGATGACTCGGTATTATAGTATTTCTATACATTTCTTGATGGTCAGTTGGTTCTGTTCTAGAAATACTTTCAAAACTGTTATCTGCTCTGAATTGAATTTGAGTTTTTTCATCAATGGTTTCAGATCCAGATTGAATGGTAGGTGAAAGGTTATCTTTTGCAATGAAATTATATACATTTTGGAACTGTTGGTTTGGCTGGATTAAAGTACTCTTTTTTATTATTGCCAAACCAGTATCATTTGGTGAACATTTTTGATTTGATCCATCAGCGGTATGTTTATACAAAACATTTGAATTTCTTTCTTAACGTGTGAATATGGAGCAGATTGAGACAACTTGATAGGACCACTGATGTCACTAGAAGGGAGATGCAGTACCGTCCAGATCGTTAATTTGAACCAATCTTTTTAGTAGAATTTTCTATACTTTTCGTTTTTGTCACTGGCAGTCAAATTACTCTGTGTGTGTTTCAAATTTAAGTCCGCTGTTGTCGATAATATAGTGTGTGATGCTTTTGTTCGCACATTTGGGTTTCTTGGACTGAAGGTTTCGTTATTATGACAAGAAACTCCATTTATGTTATTAGGGTTCCTTGTATTATCAAGAACAGAGTTATCGTTATTTACAGTGACACTACTAATACTCACAATATTTGTGTTGTGGCAATTAGAATCAATGATTTCATTTGGGTTGCAGTTCAATAAACTTTTGTCATGCATGGACTTTGTTCTGCAAATTTTTTTATTTTCGCTTTCATCACCAATTGGTGAACATTGAATTCTTTTTGATTTTTTAGAATTTGTACATTCAGGCTGATGACTCGGTATTATAGTATTTCTATACATTTCTTGATGGTCAGTTGGTTCTGTTCTAGAAATACTTTCAAAACTGTTATCTGCTCTGAATTGAATTTGAGTTTTTTCACCAATGGTTTCAGATCCAGATTGAATGGTAGGTGAAAGGTTATCTTTTGCAATGAAATTATATTCATTTTGGAACTGTTGGTTTGGCTGGATTAAAGTACTCTTTTTTATTATTGCCAAACCAGTTTCATTTGGTGAACATTTTTGATTTGATCCATCAGCGGTATGTTTATACAAAACATTTGAATTTCTTTCTAAATCGTGTGAATATGGAGCAGATTGAGACAACTTGATAGGCCACTGAATGTCACTAGAAGGAGAAGCAGTACCGTCCAGATCGTTAATTGAACCAATCTTTTTAGTAGAATTTTCTATACTTTCGTTTTTGTCACTGGCAGTCAAATTACTCTGTGTGTGTTTCAAATTTAAGTCCGCTGTTGTCGATAATATAGTGTGTGATGCTTTTGTCGCACATTTGGTTTCTTTGACTGAAGGTTCGTTTATTAGACAAGAAACTCCATTTATGTTATTAGGGTTCTTTGTATTATCAAGAACAGAGTTATCGTTATTTACAGTGACACTACTAATACTCACAATATTTGTGTTGTGGCAATTAGAATCAATGATTTCATTTGGGTTGCAGTTCAATAAACTTTTGTCATGCATGGACTTTGTTCTGCAAATTTTTTTATTTTCGCTTTCATCACCAATTGGTGAACATTGAATTCTTTTTGATTTTTTAGAATTTGTACATTCAGGCTGATGACTCGGTATTATAGTATTTCTATACATTTCTTGATGGTCAGTTGGTTCTGTTCTAGAAATACTTTCAAAACTGTTATCTGCTCTGAATTGAATTTGAGTTTTTTCATCAATGGTTTCAGATCCAGATTGAATGGTAGGTGAAAGGTTATCTTTTGCAATGAAATTATATTCATTTTGGAACTGTTGGTTTGGCTGGATTAAAGTACTCTTTTTTATTATTGCCAAACCAGTATCATTTGGTGAACATTTTTGATTTGATCCATCAGCGGTATGTTTATACAAAACATTTGAATTTCTTTCTAAATCATGTGAATATGGATCAGATTGAGACAACTTGATAGACCACTGAATGTCTTTAGAAGGAGAAGCAGTACCGTCCAGATCGTTAATTGAACCAATCTTTTTAGTAGAATTTTCTATACTTTCGTTTTTGTCACTGACAGTCAAATTACTCTGTGTGTGTTTCAAATTTAAGTCCGCTGTTGTCGATAATTTAGTGTGTGATGCTTTTGTCACACATTTGGTTTCTTTGACTGAAGGTTCGTTTATTAGACAAGAAACTCCATTTATGTTATTAGGGTTCTTTGTATTATCAAGAACAGAGTTATCGTTATTTACAGTGACACTACTAATACTCACAATATTTGTGTTGTGGCAATTAGAATCAATGATTTCATTTGGGTTGCAGTTCAATAAACTTTTGTCATGCATGGACTTTGTTCTGCAAATTTTTTTATTTTCGCTTTTATCACCAATTGGTGAACATTGAATTCTTTTTGATTTTTTAGAATTTGTACATTCAGGCTGATCAGAAGTTCTCATAATTTCAGAAATGTAATTCATTGTACTCGGTTTATTAGATAGTATAGGATTAAATCTGCCATTATCAATACTTAAAATATGTTTTTCATATGATTTTGATTTTTTCACATTGACCTGCATTTCATCATCACTTGATTGACTTTTTACATTATTCGGGAATGATTTAAAAGTAGGCGTTAATGTTTTTAAGGTATCACCTGAAGATTTTTCATTTTCATTACTTGTATCATTATTGCTTTCATCAATTATTTTATTAGTTGATGAATTTATAAGATTAGTTTTTACTATAGATTTTTTATCAGAATGCGGGAAATTGTCTATATTCGGAGTGATGATTTGCTGACCTTCTCCCAAGTGGCTTAACTTGGTTAAATCATCATTGTTTGGAACCAAATTATACTTGATTTTTATCATCAAGCTATTACAGGAAGGTTTAAGTGGTTTTAGAGTGTCATCAAAATATTTATTCTGCAAAAAATAGGAATGAATTAAAATTGTGATTATACATAAGTCAAGAATTAATATTTATTACTATCTTCAACTACCTATAAACATTTGCACAAAGCTATTTTAAAATTAATTAATTTTATTTGATTGGGTAAAATTAAGTGACTTATTTTTTTTTGTTATTACATTGGCAACTACAAGCAAATATTGAATTTTGTTACATTTGATAAATAAATTAAAGTTATTATTTTTACTATACCTAATAAAATATTTAACTTAGATATTTTAACCTGTACTTTTTATTTTATAAGATATAATAAACACTTAAAAATTATTTATAATAAGATAATTTTAATTTATTTAGTTGTTTGAATTTAAAAATATGAAACTTTTTCAATACACTGAAAATAATGAATAGAAATAAAAGGAAAGAGAGCAGACGAAAAGAACATTTGAGAAAGAAATGCCGAACTGCGCATATAATAATAGTCCGGATATATCACATCTGCTCGAATGTGTGTAGCCAGCAGTAATTTTGATTTTACACGTAAAGCATACGGAATTTATAGGTTATGATAGACTATGATTTATAGGCTTTCAATTTGTATATACCTAAGATATCAATAATATAAAACATAATATACATAACATAATATAACGCCTATGGGTTATCACAACTTAAAATATGTAAATGTATATTAGTTTATTACCCACATAAGAAATAAGTATAATATACTATTGGTATACATATTTGTTAAGGCTGTTGGAACATAGAATATTTTAAGTAGTCAAATTTAGGAGATTATGCAAAAGTATTATTGGCAAATATTTGTATTTGTGTGAGTATAGTAAATGAACCTTAGTGTGTGTAATCCATTATCGTGTTATTGTTTAAATAATTTTTTTAAATTTTAATATATTTTTGAAGCCTTATTGAATACAAAAATCAAAAATCTGTTTCCTACATAACCTAGAAACGGAAATGATGAGATCATACATATTTTTAAAATAATTATTGGACATCGGGAAGTACATAAACTAATCATTTATTTATTGGTCTAAAACTACAAAAAATACGGTGTACTCCAACAGCTTTGAGGCACAAGTATGAATACTGGTTAGTCCACTACTGTTGGTAAATGTCCGAAATTCAGGCATTTACCAATTTATTTCGGTAATACCTAGGATAAGCAACATTTTTTGGTCATACCTAAAATGATTTTTGTAGTTCGGACTTTTACAAATTAAATTTGGTAAATCTTAGGATAAACAATATGTGTTAGTAAAAGTCCGAAATATAGTTACCTAATATACTTAAATAATAATAATTAATAAGATAATTGGTAAAAATGTTAGACTTTCACTAACACTGATTGTTTATCCTAAGATTTACCAAATTTTGTTTATAAAAGGCCAAACGACAAAAATCATTTGGGTGTGACCAAACAATTTTGTGTATCCTAGGTTTTAAAAAAATCATTTGGTAAATGTCTGAATTTTGGACATTTACCAAAAGTAGTCGGCAAAACCTAGGATTTACCGGTAAATAATAGGTTTAACCTGTATTCTTACTTTTACCATAATATATACATAAAATTAGAAAGAATTTTTTTAAAAACTATTATATATCAGTCTAAATGTCGTATATTCTTGGTGATAATTTTATATGATCAAGGACATTTCAATTTGGTCTTAAAAACATTTCATAGTAATTATTCATAAGTTTCAGCTTTTAGATCATAATAATAAAAAAATAAAATAAATTCCATGTAAAAACAACATCACTACTGACCGACGCGCATTCTATAATTCTGGACCATATTTTTTCACCCTGGCTTTGTACTAATCTGGGCCTTTCCCTAAAGTTCATGCAGAACATGATTGTGAACAAGACCAAATACACCAAGACAATTATCATTATCAAATAAAATTTGTCAGATACATGATTATTATTTATTAGAACTGTTCATTTTAATATAGGTTACTATAAATATAGGTAATTTATAGACTAGCCAATACATAAAATAAATGTTCAAAATATGTTTCCAGGTATGTAACAATAATCACAAGACCGCGTGACCTACTGCGTAATTGGACAAACAAATTAAAAATTATAAAATTATGTTAGTAATTATTTAATTAATTAGTAATACAAATATAAAATAATACAGGATTACATTTAATAATGTCAAAATCCCTCTAATAAAATATCAGTTTAAAAAAATGTATGAATAGTGAATACATTGAATTATGTTAAAAATTTCATAAACAAATTGCATTTATTTTTAAATACTTTTTGTATATTACTTAAAAAACACCTGTTAATAGATCGGTCCCCCGTACATAATATAGATAATCGTCTTGGTAGGTCACATACTAAACTCGATTTTCACTAGGAAGGTCACATACTAAACGAATACCCAGGGGTCTCCAACCTACGGCCAAGGTTTTTGCACTGGCCGAAAAGCTAATTAATGTTTTGAAAATAATATATTTAATATATTATTTTCATTTAGTTTTAATTTTTTTTTTTAATTTATTGAATTAATTAAATAAAATGAATTTATATACTAACACTTACTAATAATAGAAAAACTCGTAAATAAAAAAATTATATAATTTTTTAAATAAATCATTTACATTCTTATCTATTATTCAATTTCGTAACCTCTCTATTCCTCTAAAAATATTGGCTCGCAAATGAAAAAGTGTATTTTAAATTTAGCCCGCCATAGAAAAAGGTTGGAGACCTCTGATTTAAGCAACATTAGAAAAATAATTTCTTACCCAATTTCTCAAAAGTTCTTTTCTCGAAATAGCAAATAAATCTGGTCGTAACATTTTACACTGTTCTACAATTGGTTTCAATAGTATTGGAATATCTTTTATTGGAGCAGCACTCGATATATCCTAAAAGCAATAAGTATTATTAATTATCATTTTTGTTTTTATCTATTCTTCTTCGCTAGTAGATACTTGTACATACAAACGGAAAAATGATTGACCTAACCATAAAAAAAAATCATACTAGGTATAGCCTTTTTATTTGTTATTTATGTATGGAAAACTAGTAGTAGTTCATGTTCAGCACTATGAAATACTAAATATTGGAATGATTATTTCTTACCAAACTACAAACTAGAAAATAATTTGCTAAAAAAGGTTTGTTGTAGATTATTGGTTACACAATTTACTTCGTATTAGTGTAGAAGCTCTGCAGCATAATAATATTCAGATAATATTCACCAAAAACAATGTTTCTGTATGTACAATTAAAAATATTAAAGAAAAACAGTATGGTGAAATAATTGTTTACATTTAGGTATACTATATAAATTAATTAATTTAAAATGTAATTAACTAATGAATAATAAGAAAATTTAAAATTATTATATAAAACATGTTCATTATATTATAATGAATGTCTCTAATTCACATTCACATGTAAACATTTTTTTTAGTGTTTAGTATACATAGATAGAAATATTATGAAGCTCATACAATATGATTAATTTAATGTAACACACAAACATTAAATAGCTTTACTGAATGAATATACCATATTAAATAAGTTTATACAGCCGAGTCTATATCATTTAAATCAAAATTTACCTTGTAACACCTCTTGAGTGATAAATTTGCATCATAATATAAAACAAAACTAACATTTTTTATATCTCTCTGTATTAAATTTTGCTTTTTATTTGAACACATTGTCAATTTAGGCCAGTTAGGCCAATTATATTTCTCATGTTGACTCATAAAATCATTTGGAATATTCAACCGCCTTAAAAATAGTGGTAAAATGTCCAGTTCTTTTCTCTCTTCAGAATCATGCATACCCGATGAGTAAATTATATTTTCCCACACTTTAAAACACAAAATATATCTCATGTAAGTTGGAAAATTAATTTTTTTGGGCATTGGATGTTCAGATAGTAACTTTCTGTAAATACCACAATTATTAAGTCATTAAAAAAATTGTTATAAATTAGTACTGATTGAAAATAATGATAAAAAATAAAATACTAACTTACAAACTGGAAGCATTATTAATTCTCTATTAGTATCAACTTTTCTATTAAATAAATAGTATTTAAATACCGAATCAAAAATGTAATCAATTTTCTGATCTAAAAATATTAAATGAAATAAATAAATACATTTTATACTGATTTATGAATTAAAATATTAATAAAATAATATTTTATTTTATACATTACCTAAAAGTATAAATAACATTGTATTTATTTTATTTGAAGTTTTTATGCGAGATGGATTTTCTTCATAACATCTAAAACAGATAATTAACATTTTTAATAATATAACAAATATAAAACGCATACATTTAATTTAAGAATATAATTATTACAATTTATGTAAGTAAAAGGAATTTTGTAAGGTTTTGTACATCAATACAACAATATCATAAGGGTAATAAGTTATACTTTTACCTATCACAATAAATATTGAAGGTGATTGATACTTAAATTTTAAAACCATCTATTAGGTATTTGATATATTATTATTTACCAACTAGTTGAAAAAGATAATAGAAATACTTTATAGTATTACCTACACAAACCATAAGAGACAAGTATAATAGAGATCATTAACATATTATAACACTTGTATCATAAATTAAAAATTTTCAAAACAATAGATTATCTTATTATTGATAGTAGGTATTTACTATTTCAATACTTGATAAACAATTTTTATGTTTTATATGTTTATTTTGTGCGATTTAGTAAATAATTATAGATCTGATAATATTTATATAATTTGAAAATCAAATTAAAATAAATTTAGACTAGAGGTCGTTTATAATAATAATTTTTTTTCTTATCCACCAGGCAATCATAATATTTATATAAAATGGTATAACATACCTTTTCATTTAATACATTTAACATAACATTTTTGGTTTTAAATTTAATACTTAAGCATTAGAACTTACTGATTTGACATTAGTTTCAATTCTATGTAATAGGCTAGCATTGAACTCATACTGTCATAATATATAACATCCAAAGTATCCCCTTTAACCTGCAAATAAAGAACAATATATAAATAAAAATAAAAATAGTTTTTAGAGATTTCCAAAACCTCTGTGATGGCAGTGTCTTATAAACATGCAGCACTATAGCTAATTTGCATTCGGCCAAACCAATTTTGTCTTGTTAGATCTAATATTAGAGGGATGAATGAAGTATTATCAAACTTAAGCTAAGAACATTATCTGTGTTTATATGTTGGTTTTTTTTTTTCATCGAGTCCGGATGACAGGTCATTTTACTGGTAATTAAATACATAAACATCATTACAAATAAACTTACATAATATCAATTAGTCAAAAAGTCAACAGGTAAAATAATAAAACATGGGTGTATGGAAATAACCTCTATGCGGTACACCTAGGCAACGATTCAGTGATACTTTCACTAATTGGCTAATCTTTCCTCCACCACTGGGCTCAGGTCTTCTCGACCAAACATGGTAAATATATGTTGGTAATGACTCATAACTTACTTATATATGAGAATATAATCTGTATATTTTTATTTTAAGTAAGTTATGAGCATTTTTATACTTATGTAATATAAGTACTCATAATTTGATTAAAAATTAAATATCATAGAAAAACACGTATTAGATTCTTATTTTTAAGTTTGCTAATAGATAAATTCACTTTAATATTCAAGTAACAACATACAATTGGTTCTGCTGATGAGCTGATTGCACATTTGCTATGCTGTATGACGGAGACTACACACACAGGTATGAAACAGAATAGCATTTAATTAAAGTAAATTTTAAATGGTTGATACTAATTTCTTCACATAAGAATTTTAGATAGAAAATAGATATAAAAATAGATCTTTTTTTGCTACCTATACAAAATTATAAGTTTTTTTAAAATGTTGGGCTACAAACTGAATGTATTACACTGTATTAGTCCAAGCAAATTACAATCCAACAACCGGGCATGGCAGCCACCTACGGGTGCCCAAATCAAAATTTCTACCAAACAAACACATATGTGTAAACAAATCTACAGTACCACAGGCTTATAACCTAGAAGTTGAAACCTTAACCCCAATAATAAAAAAAAAAAGAACAATTTTGAATTTATTGCTTTATTAGTTATAAATATTATCATATTAAGTTAAATGCACTTATATCACTTTTGAATGATTTGTGGTTATATTGGTTATATATAGTATGTATATATTGTATATCCTATCAAATCAAAAACACTCAGTCAACTCTATGTAAAAAACGCTAAGTAAAAAAAAAAAAAAATATAAATGCTATAAAATGTGTGATATAAGGTAGAATCTAAATAAATGGTCTTATGTGTAAAATGTATAATAAATAATTCATATTATAAATTAATATAAATAACCAATTTTTATTAAATTTGAATTAATTACTTATATATAAATTTTACACATTAGATTTAATACGTTATACGTTTGATGATTTTTAATAAGAATATACAGTCCACTCAAAACAACCGAAACATCATGGCTTGATTACATACAAATAAAATTTACGTTACACCTAGAGTTTTTTTACACGGAGTTGAAGAAGGTTTTTGTTGGAATAGGATATACAATAAATAACTATGGATAACCAATATAACCACAAATCAGTCAAAATGTATGTAAGTGCATTTAACTTAATAACATAATAGTTATAAAGCAATAAATACAAAATTGTTCATTTATAATAGTATAATACAAAGTAAAAACTGTGTTAATCACAATTACGGACGTCATAAGACAGTAATTACCAATTATATGAAATTTCATGTGCGATTATCAAGGTAAATATTGTTCCAACATAATATGATGTAAGGACATTTTTTATATGCAATTACCTCTTCTATAATATAGTATATAGGCATTTTTGTTGTAATCTTAAAATAACCTAGTTATTGAGAAATACTGATTTTTCTTGCACAAAGCTCACTCTAGCGGAGGTAGTAAATCTTATGGCACTTTTAGTATGTTATTAGTACCCTTCAATAAAGGTGTATACCAAAGTTCATCTTTAATGCTATTTTTTCAGCCATTTGTCAAAATTGAGTCTAATTTGCCTGGACTATATTAAGTCTTAACAATATCAAATTAAACATAACTTAATCATACTTTCAAATAATTATTAAATGGTACTACTTACATAATTTAAAATTTTAAAAACGATAAATTTATTTTTATTAATGAAAAAATGTTTATTTACTTCTTTTACGTTTTTATAGTTTTCTCGAAAAAATGTCATAAATTGTTTCAGATAAGTTTTCACAGGAGCTGATTTTTTATTAATTTTAATTCTGCAATCAAACATTTCTTGTGCTAAATTCCTGTAAACAAATAAAGCGTTATTATACATAAATCTAGGTAGGTATAGCTACTCCAACCTTTTTTTTTATAGATAAACAATTTACTACAAGGATGGTTGATCAGAGTATCAGACTAAATATACATTTATACAAATAATTCAGCACACAATTTAGGTAGATAAATTTAGGAGACAATAAATACATAGTTTGAAGAGTCCTCTTAAGTATCTTGATTTATAAAAATAATATAGGTACTTACTGACAAAACAACTTTAACAACCCAAAATAAAGTTCTGTATTAACTTTACATGAAATCTTACAACATTCCAGTCGAAAACCAGCTATCCATTTAATTGATGACATTTCCACCAATTGTTCATAACTATATACATACTTTGGAAATCTGTCCGAAGTTGTTGGTGTGTTTTTAGTATTTTCATCGACATCTGAATCAATTACAATAATAACAAGTCAATAATACATAAAATTAATATATTATTAGTGTTTGAAGTATGAGACATTTCATGTGAAATTGAAAACCTAACCTAAACACCCCAAATACTACATGACAACTTAACTTGTTCAATTATTATAGCTCAACAGTTAGGTATTAGAGATAAAAACATTAGTGAACAAAAGGTTAAAAAAGGTACCTAATACATTTTATGTAAATTTTAAATTACTTTTATTATTTATTAATATTAGGTAATTTTTATGAACTAATAAATATTTGTTTTTAATTTATTGTCTAAATGTGTAATAAACTTATAAGTTATAATACTTTTCTAACAATTTATGTTATAAAGATGTGTTTCTAATAACTTATTTTGTCATAGCTATTAGTAAATTGTTAATCGAAAAATTATTTGGAATTTATTTTTTTGTGAAATATTTTTCAGGGAAAATTATCTTTTGGGTATGTCTGTGGTACCATTTAATTGAAATGTGATAAATTAATTGTGAATAACCTAGTAAGATGTAATTTAAAATGACAGTGCCAAAGCTGCCGATGTATATTTTCAATCAATAAAAAACAAAGAATAAACAGAAATCTAGCATCTAGCCACATAAGTTACAGAAATTATACATAACAGAATGTATTTTAACTGCAAAGAAAATATTCAAAAATATTTTCCATATTATTCATGGTTTTTTGTTAGTAAAAACATTAAAATAGGCAATAGTTAATAATTTATTTATTAATTAACTATAAAAAAATGTTTAGACAATGAGAAAATTGTATTTTATCAATACATCAACAATGCATATATAACTGATAAGTGATTACAATTCACTAGAATAAATTAAATAAAAATGAATCTATTTTCAGATAGAAACTTCTGTCATCATAATATTGTTATCACTTTTCATATATCGGTATAATATTGGTTGACTGTTGCTGTTTCTGTATGTTTGATTTGTATATTTTGTTGATCGTTTACTATATTATTTATGAATCTTCGAAATTAACGTATGATTTTATGTTGATCAATTTTATGTTTTCTGATGGTTTATGGTGAATAGTCAATAAACAATATAGATGTAATTTGACATTCGTACTGTGTTTCATGGACAATTTTGTTAATAAGCGGTCTAAGGTAAGCTATAAATATCACATATTATTAAATTATAGGATTTAATCTGAGTTAATTCAATATTATGCTAAATATTATTTATTTGTGTTTCTTATTAGTTATTTATATTACATTTATCTTTCTGAACTCATCACTAATACTTGTGGTTTATTGGTTTATGCAGTAATGTAGTAAATTACATATTCGTACTTGCTAAATATTTAAATTTAAGTATTCTAATACTTTTAGAACATAGGAGAAATGATGATAATTTTACATAAGTTATGTTTTCTCAATAATTTACCATAAGTCATAAGTTTTATTTTTAATATTTAGGTATTAATTATTATAAATATGGTAAATTACAATATGTTGGTACATATTAGAATTTTTAACTTACTTTAGTTACATAATTTATTTGAAATTAAAACCTACCTAGGTATATGAGTATTGGAGTATAGTACAATGAACATTAAGACGTTGTACGATGGGAAGTGTACAACACGAACCAGTTATAAAACTATGCTTGTGCAGCATCATCAGTAGACTCTGAGTATTACACTGAAAAACCACCTAGACAGCTGGACGGCCCAGCGTCTGGCACAATATTATGTTGACAATAAACCACTGGCTAGCCAGAAGTAATAGCAAAATCATGTTTACATACACGGAGCATGACGAAAAAAACACTCACTTGTTGTGTCTATAGTTTCTATGGGCTCTGTGGTGCTGATGGACATTGACGATGATGTCGATTTCTCTCCGTGCTGCGGGTGAACAGCCATCGTGTCTTCAGTGACGTGCGCAACACCACTGTTACTAGACGCCATCAGTGGATCTTCACCCCAGTGGTTCGCTGTGCAAGACTCCCTGAAACTTGGTGCTCGGTCACAAGCTGTGACAATGGTCAACGTCTCGCGGATGAAGAATATAGTGTCACTGACTGACCGACCGTCCGTCCGTCCGACCGACCGACTGACTGGCAGGTGGTAGCGTCCGTCCGACTGAGCACAACCTATCAGTAAGTCTCCGTCACTCCGGAGTCGCTTGTGAAGTAATGGCCGACGAATTGAGGCGAACTGGTGACGGCGACTAACAATATTATTGTTTCGTCACGTGGCGGCGGCAGCTACGGATTCGTTCGACCGCCGATCAAACAACCAAAAATTCCCGTTTCACAGAAAAGGCGAACGAGAACGTACCTAATAAATATACAACCGTCAATCCGAACGAGTTGTACGGTTGCAATCATTTACCGTAATACTTTACGCTGTGTCTCGCCGTGTCTCGAAGAATGTGTAGGACACTGGGATATAAGAACTTATCACTATAGATAATTTAGTAAAACGTTTTTATTGTTATTATTCGAACAGGTTTGCCGCAAACAATAGTTGAAAGCCAATGAGAAATTTCCACGCGGCGGACGCGTTATCACCTTTTTCTTATCATTTCGCCGATTTTTGACATTTTCGAAGATTTAACTTTTTTACACGATTTCGAACATTTTCGAGCCGTTTTCGCCCACTTTTTTATTTGATTCGCGTAGCTCACGATCTATCGAAGCCGCCGGTGTGTGGTTTACATTCGTGCGCCGTCCGTAACGGTCGCAATGTCGATCGCAAAATGTGCCGAACTTTTTTTGCCGATTTTTTTTCGTTTTCTTCAACTTTTGCACACTGTTCGTGCCCTAATCGCGTAGTAAACGTCTTTTGAAAGCCGTTTATAATATGCCTTTTCCCCTCGAAATCGGTTCGTTTGCCTCGCAATCGCGTTTAGAAAGGACGCCGGCGACAGCCATCCATTCGCGTAGGTATATGAGTACGATTTTTGACCATAATTGAATAATTATTATCGGAAAATGCTTTTCACACTCCCCGTTAAATATATGTATGGGAGATTCGTGTTTTACAAGCCAACTATATACAAATACAGCTTAAGTTTTGAAGTTTTGACCTAAGTCGGTAACCCAAACTATGGCTCGGTAGGTTGGGCGTAGGACGCGTAGGTACCTACCACAAACGTAGGTTGTTGGGCGCATAATATCTCACTTCATTCCTAGTCTATTAGAATATTATAATAATATTATACGTCTATGGGTTGTACACGTAGACGAATTCTTTAACATCTATGATTATACATTAATACTGTGGCGACTCACGACACGGTTCCAATATTGTTACAGCGACCGCGGTGTATAGTCAGCCGCGCGTCACCCCTCTGTATGTATACATGCGTCGATCGCCGTCGGCCGAGACGCGTCGGCCACTACCGACGATACCTACGACCGTATCCCTACTTTTCTCGGACGAACGTCGTCACAATATATTATACATCGATTCGGCCGCCGCCGCGCAAACGACTTTTTCCTCGCGTCTCATTGGATGTAAAGCAAAGACGCGTATACGAAACGTTGTTATTATAATATTCATGACGTATTGTATTTTATATGTTTTGTCATAACCGTAAACTTAAGAGGACGTGTCACCCAAACGTGTACGCATGCAACGACCGAGATGATGCGCTGTTAGGTGTTTTCACGATCCGCAAGCGCGCGGCGTTTAAGTCTCCCCAACTATTCGCAACCGGCCGACGGCGGCGACGAGTGCTCGTTCGGGACTTCGGGAGCGCCGTTTATTTGTCTATGGACGTTCGTCCAGTACCATTCGTATCATTATAAAATAAAAATTCATTATACGCAAATTCCGCCCTAATATTTTTAATACCCTCGCGTACCTACGAACTACAGATTATAAATTAAGATACTGTTTGCTTAAATTTATGTCCCAACATTTAGATCGTAGAAACAGTATTATAACATAGCTTGATTTGAAGTTATTGAATTATTACTTATTTAAATATAATACTTATAGTAAAATCTAATAAATGGTAAATAAAATAAACACAGCGCAATCAAATTAATATTAATTTACCGTGTATTATTTTTTAAGTTCAACTGTTAATGTTATATTAAAATATGATAATAAGTGATTACAAATATTTATTTAAATTAATAATATGTTTGTAGTAGGTATACCTAAAGTATACCTAATACAGTAATATAATAATTATAGGTAATCTACTCGTAATGATAATAATAATACTCTAAAATCTTTATTTATCATTCAGTAATTTTTAGATATCGGGTACATTAACTGAGAAAAATAACTAATTTAAAATGTATAGTTGTATAATATAATGATAACAAATTATAACATAAATTTATCAAAAAATTATTTCTATAAGTAACTTTTTGTTTAAAATTACCTACTATACAAACTACTATATTATAAGGATTACACAATCCAATGAACTACAGTTTATCAAATGCATAAAATCAATCAATAGATTTAGGATGTGACCTACATTATTTATCACCACATTTATATTTAAAAAAGAAATTATAATCATATTACCTATATTAATATAATAAAAGGGTAACGAGCAACAATTTCCTATTATTTAACCATGAAAAAAACTTGTTAGTTCAACAAGTATAATATAATTTATAGTTTTCTTTTTTTCTTTTTTCTTTCTTTATATTTTATAATATTTTCCTTGATGTGTGGGAGGGTCAATAATATCACTTATTTGAATCCGTTTTCTGTATTGAGAATCAACAATTTCAGGTAATAAACATTCTTCGTAAAATCTGAAAAATATAATAAATGCTAGACTTACAAAAATACCAATAGAATTTTACTAATTAATATATAGAAACTAAAATACAATAACAATTTACAATTTCATATTTGATTCCATTTTTCATTCCAAAATACTTCTGAATAATTAATAATTTCGAGTTTGTTCCACTTCGGAGTAAATATAAAAAAATAGCATAAATTTCGTGTAGTGATGTGCATTTGGCTTTGAATTTGGTAATAGTAATTACTATCTTCTTTTAAACTGACTGTGTTGTTTTTATTTATTAAATAAGGAATCTAAAGGCAACATTACTATTATAGTGGATATTACAATACACAATACATTTTCATCTAAACTCTTATTTGAATAAAGTATTTTTTATATTAAATACCCCTGATTACCTAGTACAAAAATAGGTTTAAAACTAAACTTCTTTTTTAGAAAAGCTTGTTCCAAACTTTCATAATCTTTAACAGAAAACGGACATTTCACAATAGAAAGCTTCTAGTATATTATTTCAAAGGCAGATAAAAAATATTAAAAATCCTTAGTCACAATTTTTTTTTATAAGCATTTAAAGTTCAAAAATTGACAAAATATGGAAAAATCACGAAAATTATTTTGAATTAAGAATTCGTAAAATTTTTTCTTTTTAAATTTAAGTTTTGAAAATGCGGACATTCACAGTAACATATATAGTATTATATACTAGGTATACCTATACAAAACTTAGTCTTTTGCGGGTACACGCAAGCTTCCAATTTTTGACAGAAAATTCAGTCATATTATAACCAAACAAAAGTTAAAAATAATAATAATAAACAAATTAATACAATAATATTTTATTATGACATTAAGTACCCTGTCCAAAAATAGCCCCGTACCAGCATGAAGTTAGATTAAATTTTAATAGACTTCGGGCTCTTGCGAAGACGATCGATAACTGCCGTTACTATGATTTATAATAATATTTATATTTAAATTTTTATATGTTATTAACATAGATTAATATATAATATAGACTAATAAATACTGTATATTACCTTAAGTTAATTATTATTTTATTAGTAGGTATAGTCCACTATGTTACAGTAAAGTTTTTTTATGTTTGATAAAAAGTGTATTCTTTATTATATTTATGAATTGACTTAATTAAAAAAAAATAATACGTTAGATACTGATACTTGGTACATATTACAAGCAGTGGCGTATATAGGAATTAATTTCGGGGTGGGGGTGAATATAAGGTAAACCCCCCCTATATTCTCCACTGCATATACATATACACATGAAAGGTTAGGTATAGTGTTAGTAATAAAAGATTATCAAATATTAAGTGTAATGATTTTTCGAGCGGAGCTAGACAATTTTTAAAAGAAGTTATGTAATATAGGTAGGTATATATAAAGGTATATTCAACTATATTTAGGTGCGTATACCCATACATTTAGTTACTAATATACCACTGCATGCCGATACCGCTTTTCAGCTTTTCTATACCACCTTGCACAAACGCTCAGAGGGTTGGTCTATATTTTATGTATATGATTTATATTTAAGACGATAAAAGTATCAGAATTTCAATATAACGTTTAGTTTTTTAAATATTAAAAATTTTAAAAGTGATATTTTTGTATAAAAATGTATATTATCACTCAAATCTATAACTTATATAGGAATACTGTATAAAATATAAATACTATACAATTTAGTTTTGGGTTGGGAAAAAATTATGTTCGCTAGCGTTGTATAAACAAATTAACTTTTTTTAAACTTAATAGTTTAATTTTTCTAATTTAATAATCTGCCTTAGTCATAAAAAGTGTAAGTTAACTTTTAACTTACTGAGTGAACCTATAGTTAAATTAGCTTTTAAATGTTAACTTTTTGTTATTGGTGCATAATAATTTAACTGAACTGACTTAAAAAAAAATATTAACCTGCAAAGCCTTGTCCAAAACCAGAAAAAAACCACTTATTTTATACCATTTTGCATATTTTATTATTAAGTAAAATACAAAAGATAATAGTAACAAAAACAAAAAAATTTCGAATTTATCTCTAGCACTCATTTGATCTACATCATTAATTGCATTGACATAATTTACCGAGAATAGCGAGTACCGTGAAGTACCGGAGCGACCTACCTGTAGTCGATAATAAACTATTGTTTGTATTACTTAAACGA